AAGGTCAGAGTTCACCATCACGGGTATACTCCCGATTACGACATCAGGCTTAGTTTCATCCGACAGGCACTCATCTTCAACATACTGCTCTATTCCAGTTTTAAACTTGTCACTTCGGACTCGTTTTTTAGTGTACACCTAAACACATTCCACGCGCAATGGGCAATAGATGATATTAGATTTCAACAAGTTACTAAAATAAGGTGGACAGGAAAATTTTATTATTATAAAGAAGAAACATGTGGCTAAAAAGGACTTAACATGCAATCTAAAAGGGCTCCATGAAGGTTATATGATTATCAAAAGTCACGAGAAGTGTTTATCCAGGAATAAATTCATATGTGGAGTTGACAGGCAACTCTCAGATGATGGCAACACCAACAACAACAACAACAACAAAAATAAATTCAAACACAGCATTACGCCACCTTTGGATAAGAGAATTTCCTTTACTTCTCACACTGTAGCACTAGCAGAGCATCAAATACATGAGCAGGAGCACAGTAAAAGGTCAGCCGATTACATGCTGACCAAAATGACTGAAATGAATTGTATAAAATGGCCATATATCTGAGAGCAGCAACATGACTTATATTTTATATTTGATCGATGCGCACAACATAATATTACAACTTGTTTTACTACGCCTTTAGAGGTTTCCGTAATACAACAGCAACAACATCTAAGCCTTAGTCTCATAAGAGTTCCGGATCGGCTAACATGAACCAACATATGAAATTGGAGCTAAAAAAAGATAAAAGGATAAAAAAGATAAAAAGATAAGATAAAGATAAAAATGATATGATAAAAGGATAAAAAGATAAGATGAAAGGATCAAAAGGTAAAGAGTAAGAAAGATAAAAAAAGAAAAGAAAAAATAAAAAATGATAAAAGAAGATGATCAGTTAATGAAAAGAGATAAAGAGGTTTCCATAATAGTTTAATGAAAATAAACCAATTAAAAAAATTACAAACCTTAACACGAGCATGAACTGTTATCCTAGCAGCATATGTCATGAACTGAAGGCGGGCATGTCGGGGCAACAACTGCGGAGATTCTTCTCCACCATCTTGAGAGAATTTTTCTCCAACCCAGTAAGTTGGTGGAATGAGGGCCGGCTTTTCAAACTTTATCGATGCATACCTCCACTCATTATCACCCTTCTTGGATGGATCATACCCAGGCTCAACTATGATTTCCCCAATCGATTCAAAAACTCTCTGGATCCCATATTTTACGAAGTCGTTGTAAGAATTGATCTGGTGACTAATCAGACCAAACTTGTCAAAGAATGAAGTGGATACTTTTTTGCAAAAATCAGCCAATTTCTTTTTGCTCAAATTCATTTCGTGAAGAGCAGCTGCATCAAGGGGCTCATCAAATTCATCTTCCTCCTCATCAAATTCAAGATCTTCAAACTCCATATCCATCGGTTCTGATCCATTTGATATCTCTTTTCTACTGCTAGTCCCTGGACCATCGCTCATATTGCTGGCAGTCATACACACACACACATCAGAATTTGTAAGAGAAAATCCTAACCATCTGGATACAAAAGAAACATGTAAAGTACCCCATGCAATGAATAAAAATCCAATCACCTTCCACTCAATTGCATATAAAGGAAATGCTGGCCACTGAACCCTCATCGGAAATAAAAGGATTCAAATATCAGACACGATAAGAAAGCACCCAGGTTTGAATTGGAGCGTCCTCATTTGATAACTTATAATCTCTTTAATGAAAAATTGTAAAAAAGTTTAGAGTCCAATAGTTCATTCACCAATTACTAGCTTAGTAGCTTACAAGATGCACACACTATATTTTACACAGGAGAGGTTAAATCCTCAACTACTAGAGACTCCTCTGCTAGGCATTTTAAAAAATAAGAATATCTACCAAAAAGCCTTGAGCAAAGTATGTATAACACAACATTTCTTTTTACCAAAAAAAGTATGAATAACACAACAGTTATTTATTATCTCTCTATATATAAAGGCCGGACTGCCTGGGAAGGCTGGGATAACTGTTCCCGCCATAAAATATGATGTCACTATGACATAATCATTATGTCATGACGGCATGATGCGACACGTGTCACATTCAATCTGCAGAATATCGGCTCTTCTCCGTACTAAGGCAACTCTGCCGCCGGCGTATTGCTTGGTCATTAAATTACAGCTTATTACAACTCCTAAATTTAGGAAATTATGCATCCTGTAACTGAAATAATAACAGAGAAAGAATGAAACTCAACAACACCGTATAAGCTTGATCCATTCACTGCTGATAAGATATAAAAGGAAATGTACTAACAAACAAAACAAAATGGGATAAAATAAGAGGACAGATAGTAATAATCGACTAACCTCAGTAGGGATATTAGAGGAACGAGGCTGCGTCAGACCAAGGGGAAGAAGAAGAGGAACTAGAAATGAAGAGAGCAATATAGCGTACGAGTGTACGACCGTCTGGCTGAGAGATGAATTGGGACTACGGTATCACTATGAACTACAAGCGGAAGTATCTTTAAATTGGGCTGGATCAAACATTTGGGCCAATAATTTTAAATCATTTTATTTGGCAGATTTTAAAAAATTGCCAAATTTCTCTTTTTGATACTCCAACTATTTTTGCAATTTTTCCTTTTAGTTAAAGTACATCTAATTCCTGTAAATTCTCTCTATTTTATACTACCTCCGTTCTTAAATAAATGCAACACTTTGACTTTTACACTATTCACATGTTCTACTTTGACTACGTTTTATTTATTAATGTAATAATATTATTTTATGAAAAAATTATTGTTAAACTTGTATCATTGTAAATTTTCATAATCTAATTTTTTTAATTTTTTTACTAATACAAAATCATTTATATTAATGGTCAAAGTTGTGTCTCGGCAAGTGTGAAATGTTGACCGTTGCATTTATTTAAGAACGGAGGAAGTATAAAACTAAATCATACAATTTTTAATTTATTAATCCTCCTACTAGTCAATTCGGACATGTTTTGAGGGAGTAGGATGAAGTATTTTTCTAGTACCTATTTTATAACATAGAAATCGGTTAGATGGGTTGAATCTACTTTTCTGGGTTGAATCTATTGGAACTAATGAAATTCTAGCTGGATGATAAGCACGATATTTACCTATATTTTACATATGTGATTATATTTATCTATACAAGAAATGTAAAGAGAAAACGGATAGAACCCCCAAAATGAGCAAAGAATGTGAAGGAAGGCTAGAAGCAGCAAATTAGAGTCAAAAGCCAGAAGGGATAGAAAATCGCGGAACACTTCTGGATCAATCGTGTGACTTACGATTGAGGGACAACTGGCACCGATCAGACCACAGTCGGCAAAGGTCAAACATCGATTTTGCGAAAAAAGCCACTGCAATCATCTGGGCCGGTCATTTGAAGCAACTGTCGCTGATCGGCCCGGTTTCCTGCGAAGAACAACTACAACCGGTGTCGGTCGTCCCGAATTCCCAACAAAAACAGGAAAACATGTTAAATATTGTGAAGACATGTCAAGATTTGGAGGTTGAGAGCTAAGAATTTTCCTTTGATCCAATCTTTAGCCCATATAACCCTCATTTCCATCTCTTAATCGTCACTCATTCCATATCTTAATTCGTAGCTTTTATTGTTGGGATAATGGGCCGAGTCCAATACTGTTAATCCACTATATCTGGGTTTGGGCCTAACCAAACCCTGAACACGGCCCAACCAGAGAAGATGAATCTTCAGATTTTTTATTTAACTGTTGGGCCAGCTGGTCCGAGGGGAGAGTTAGTTGTTTAACTGGGTGAAACCAATTAGCCTTAAGGCTCAAGCCTCTTGTGAGTGCCTATAAATAGGCCATCCATTGTTTGTATGAGGGAGGATACTTTGACTTAGACCTGGACAAAACTGGGCCGGCCTGCTCGGCCCGCCCGCATAAATGGGCGGGCTTGGGCATATATATTTACCCACCGGGCCAGCCCGAGCCCAGTTCGCAATAAGATATGGGGGGACTTGGGTTAAGGTGTAGGCCCTTTCGGGCCGATAAACCCGGCCCGCTACATTTAGTATATGTAAATATATATATTTATATATATACTAATTTATTTATTTATTTGCATATACACATGTATATTTATATTTACTAATTTTTCTTTATACATATTTATAGTTTATTATGTTTAAATTTAAATTTTTAGTTCTTAACAACTAGCCCAACCAATATAATATCTATTTTTGTACTTAAAGATAATACCTTGTGCTTAAATTTTAAATTTTCTATATAATTTCTCATTATTATTTTTGTGTAAGTTTTTTTTTGTATGTGGTAAAAAACGTATAAACATTATAAGCGTATTAATTATTTTTTAAATGTTGTAATATTATTTTTAATGTATTTAAAAAATCATATAATTTTGAAAAAATTAAAGTTTTCCCGGGCCGGGCGGCCCGGTGGACTACCCGACCCGCTCTTATGGGCGGGTATTGACATAGGATTATGCCCGTTTTTGCGGGCCGGGCGGGCCCGCCCACACATGATGGGCAGAAAATTTATAAAAAGCCCGGCCCGAGCTCGGCCTGAACTCGTTTTTGTACATGTCTACTTTGACTATATTGAATTGCGGCCAGATTCTCTACTCAACTTATTGTCTACCAACATCGGTGCTTTCATTGAGAGCTATTTTCTTAATTTTTCATTGTACTCCTTCCGTTCCTAAATAAACTTCCAGCTTTCTTTTTTCGTTCGTTTCAATTAAAACTTCCATTTTCCCTTTTTAGTAAAAAATCTGTAGTTCACAACATTTCTTACACATTTCTCTCTCCTCTGCACAACTCTCTACCATACAATATTCACTATTTTAAACTGTGTGCCAAACCTATTTGGAAGCTTTAATAGGAACGAAGGGAGTACAAGTTGTTAATAGAAACATATTAATAGTAACACAGAGGTCACCACCGTATGACGGAAAGGAGTACAGACTCCAAAGTCCAAACCATCAATAATGATCAAATAATGCTCATATAAAGAATCAATGTCACCAATCCAATGTCACCGACAAGAAATATACGAAGCATGTCACAAATTACCTACCGTAGGTGAGAGCCTTTGCGGCAATGGGGTAAATGAAAATGAAAATGAAAATGATAGTACAAACTAATACTTCATATATGTGAAAACTGAAAAGTATTATTGTTTTTAGATAGAAAAAATTGCCAACATAATAGTCCATGAACGAGTTTGACACAGAATTATTGTCTCTCTGAGAATGTCTACAAACAATAATGTCTTTTCATCTTTTAAATTCCTTCAACTCGGATAATTAACTTCTGCAAGCAAGGGCTCATTTGAAAAGAATGAATCAATGTTGGTGGCAACCAACGTTTGGAGTGAAGTCATCGCCTCCTGAGTTGCAAAGGACACATGGGAAGACAACACAACGTTGTCCAACCCGAATAGCTCCTTCGGCACATTTGGTTCATTTTCATAAACATCAAGACCCGCTCCTCCAAGCTCACCTCTCACCAAGAAACTGACCATTTCCTTTTCATCTATGAGCCCCCCACGGCCAACGTTTATGATAACGCCATTCTTTCCGAGGGCCAGCATGATCTTCTTATCAATAATGTGCCTGGTTTCATGAGTTAAGGTACAACATGGGATCAAGACATCACATTCAGCAGCAAGATCAGTTATGTTCTCATAGAAGGAATAGGGCACATTTGGTTTCATACTCTTGGAGGTGTAAGCAATGGTGCATCCCAGGGCATGAAGTCTTTTACTCACCCTTAAGCCAATGCTTCCTAGACCGACTATCCCGACTCGTTTCCCACCTACCTGTGTAAATTATAATAGAATTATAGCAAGTCCTCCGTAAACAACTTGTTCATCAAAGGGTCTCCATATGTACCATATGTAACATACTTCAGACCTCTGCCCATAATATTGTGATAATGTGGTATTAAACCCTCTCATAACAAACGTTGTTGATCGGTTCTGGAAGGCCCTGAGGGATGAATCATGGGATCCATCATTTTTCGGAGGGATAAAAGTAAAACATAACAAATTTTCGTTATTTCTTCTCAAGTTTTCCCTATGTCCCCTGTCTCGTTTTACTTTTTTCATTAGTTCCATTAAGTTTGGCTCGTACCATATTTGATAATATTTGTGTGGTTACAATTCATTCTTACTTTATTCACATTTTATCGATTCAATCTCAACCACAAAGTTTCACTTTTTTAAAAAAATTACACCACAACCTCTTGTCCCAATCTTAGCGCGAAGAAGGTAGTAGTAGAATATTTTACTCAAAATATTAAAAATGTGGCAGACTGAATTACTTATCAAAATAATTTAGAGAGATTTACCTAAACAAGACTAAATATAAGGATAATTGTAACAATAGGAGTTTAAAGTTTAAATTCCTAAAATAGGACTAACTCTTCCAGTCTTCCTATTCTACCCCTTCCTTTGCCCTTCCTAATTGGATTTTTTAAACAATCATTATAAAATAAAATAAAAATCAAAATAAAAAAATTAAAATCGTAAAAAATAAATAAAAAATATACAGACCTCGACCACCACCTCAGCCACCTTCCAGCACCGCCACCTTCGGTCGCCGAAAAAGATTGCCAAGTTGGGCGAAAAGTGTCATCATGATGGCAATTCTGAAGAGAAAGTTGTATATTTTCAAAGAGTAAAAATGTCATCTTTGTGACATTTCCAGAGAAATATGGCATTTTTTCACAAGATGACATTCTTTTTCGGCGACCGGAGTTGGTGGTGCTGTGAGGTAGAGGACGTGTTGGCAGTGACCTACACATTTTTTAAATATTTTTTAGGTATTTTATTTTATTTTTTAGACATTTTTAAAGTGTTTAAAATATTTTATTTATTTTTTTATTTTTTTTTTATTTTATTTTTTCACATTTTTGTTATTAATTTATTAAATATTTTATTATTTTTTACTCCCTCCGTCCCTTAAAACTTTGTCATCTTTTCTTTTTGGGACGTCCCAAAAAGCTTTGTAACTTTCCCTTTTAATCAATTATTTTGTGATTTCTGTTATTTCTCTCTCCTCTGCACAAACCTCAACCACACAGTTTTTACTTTATTATTCTCCGTGCCGGTCAACTTTGGCAAAGTTTTAAGGGACGGAGGTAGTATATTTTATTATAAATAAAACTATGATTTTCTTATTAATATAATAGATCTATTGGAAATTATATGACGAGGTAGAATGGGAAGAAGGAACATATATTAGTTTTAGGGAAAATGGAAACTAATAATCCAACTTTTTAGCGGTCTTCTTACAATAGTTCCACCTTTTGATTATTCAGGAATAATCTAACCTTTGCATCTCATCTTCATTCAATGATCCCTGACCGATTGATGACCTGTTATTCCCTTATCTTTGCAAAACATTATGTAATCATAAGGTGAGATTTATGGTATAATATATGACAAAGATAAGAAAATAACTTGGAATAAAATGTATCAATCGGTCAGAGAACATTGAATGAAGATGTGATGCAAAAGTTGGATTATTCTTGAATAATAAAAAGGTGAGAGTATCGTAAGAAACCGCTAAAAGGTTGGATTATTAGTTTCCGTCCCTTACTTTTATTTTGTGAATAAAGGGATTGTCCTCCTATTGTTTAATGTTGGGATTATTTTAGTCCTATCAGGGCTAATACCCCAATAATTTACTAATCATTAACTCTAACTTTTACTTTGCTAACGTTTTTTTAAAATCACCTTCCAAAAATCATATTTTAAAGTAGAATTTATAATAACCTACTACTGCAGCTCAGAGAAGATATACAAAGGTAAGTGTGTTCACCTTGGAACCGAGAGGAAAATTTGTCTTCCCACGCCAGGAGCCGGACCGGATAAAGCTATCGGCGACAGTAACCCGACGCAGGACATCAATCAAAAGCCCAACGGCAAATTCCGCAACGTCATCGGAAAACGTGTCTCCGGCGCCGGTGACGCGAATGCCTCGGCGGTGGCACTCGGAGACGTCGATGTGGTCGTAGCCGGTAGTGGAGCCGACGATGCACTCCAGCGCAGGATACCGATCCAAGGTGTAAGATGTAACCGGCGAGATCCCGACGCAGAGCATGATGCGAGCTGATTTTGAGAGGGCCGTGAACGATGGGTCGGATTCGTTTAGCGGGTCGAGAATACGGTATCGGGTTTGAAGAAATGGGAATGAGGAGAGCTTGAAGTGAGGCAGACGCTGGATGAGAAGTAGAGCCCGGAGCTCGTTTGCCGGCTCTTCTTGTGTGGCGGCGGCCATTTCTTTATGCTGTAGCGTCCCCCTCAATCAGACCAAAAAGAAAGGACAGCGGAATTCAAATGGGTTGGATTCTGTCTCAAATATTTGCACAATTATATAGTATTTGAATTACAACCATGTTTGATGTAACACACTCCTCTACCAACCTTATACACATCATGTTGATGAAGCTTTTTTTTGTCTGTGAACCCGGTTCACAAACAATATTTTGTTTGTGCAAAACATTGTCTGTGAATCGATGTTCACGGAAAAAAAAAAACCTTCACAGACATAGGTGTGTATAAGAGTGTGTACAAACATCATTTGGAGTTATGTCCTTATTTGACTACCTCCGTCCCGGAATTATCACCTTATTTGACTGACACGGGTTTTAATATAGTGGTAAATGTGTGGTGGAAAGTTGTGCAGAAGAAAGAAAAAAATGTGTAAGAATGGTTGTGAACCACAAATTCTTTACCAAAAAAAGAAAGAGGAGATAAATTTGAGACAGACCGAAAGGAAAGAATGAAGATAATTCCGGGACGGAGGGAGTGCATTTTAAGTATAATAATCTCACTGGGGCATAACTTAACTTGTAGCAAGGGTTAGTTCCCGGGTTCGAATCCCGGCAACTTCGATGAGAGATTACTATGCTAAAAATGCATAGAGTCTCTGTAAATACCGGGCACAGAGCCCCACTCTCTATCTGTCAGATTGGGATTATAGTCCAATTTACATCCTCCCAACGTACCGCCCGGTCAGGATTGAGGCTTCGGTGATGGGGTGTCATCCTTTTTAAGTATAATAATGTCTTCTTTTAAAAAAAGTACTCCATATAATAATCTCCAAATTGTCAGAACTCAGAATAATAACTCTGATACGTACCTGATTATCACTACTCACTCGTTATCACATCTCACACCAAATTGGGAAAGAGTAAATAAGGGGTTAGGGGTTGGTGGAGCTACTCATTTGGTGGTCATCGCCACCTTCAATTGTAGGGCCACGCAAAATGGTTAAGTTCAATTGAATCAAACAGAATCAAATCGAAAACTGATCACAATATGCCCAAATCAGATGATTTGTTTTGGGTTTTTTTGAAAGAAAATTGACCGATCATATTAGAATCCAAGAATCAACGACATTACAAAGTTTCTGAAGGTCCAAACTCACCCTACGCCAAAGGTCCCCTCACTCTTTGATTAGGCATAGAAACGACTGTTGGAAATATGATGGAAAAATGTATATATATATTTCAGGGGTCGCATTTATGAGTCCTAAGAATAAATATATAAAATATGATTTGGAAATGTCTTATTATACATCAAAGTACAACATTCATGATTGGATGATAATTAACAAAATAATCCATAGTTGTAAAGGTGATAAAATGATGTTTTAATATTATGAATTCTTGTCGCTTATAAAATACAAGCTACCGCTATAAGTTATTTTATATGATAAGGAACATCGTTCAAGTATCATTTAAAATATATTGAACGATTGCTTGCCTTTTGACAAAAATTGTGACTAGCGGAATCTGGATAGTTTCGTTTTATATTATAAAATAAAATGTAGCAGCAAAGGTGTTCAATTTTGAATAGAAATGAGCTGCTTGGTCTTGGCCGTTATATCCATACATAAATGGGGGTTAATGCTTTGGATGAGCATTAAGATCACATTTCTGTCTCATGCTTTTGATTAACTTCAAAATTCTGATTTCCAAAGTGTTTAAGTATCACACGTGAAACCTCCACAAGTAGTAGGATGATCGGTGTGAGTTACTGCTATTGAACAACAATACAAAGCTTCTCCTGATGGAGTATATGGCCCAGGGACCCCCGGCCCACATACTTCCTCTACTACAATCAGGCCCAACAGACCCAAATGGGTCAAGCCCAGAAAAATGGAGCTCTAAGCAGCCCACAATACGCAAAGGGGTGCCTTCGGCCCCATGGCCGAAGGCTACCAGTGACGGAATCGAGATCAGAGGCATCACAGGAGAACAAGGCTTGAAAACCAAGCCTTCGGCAACTGCAGCCCTCGGTAGGTAGGAGCCCTCGGTTAGAAGAGGCATCACAGGAGAACAAGGCTTGAAAACCAAACCTTCGGCAACTGCAGCCCTCGGCAGGTAGGAGCCCTCAGTTAGAAGAGGCATCACAGGAGAACAAGGCTTGAAAACCAAGCCTTCGGCACCTGCAGCCCTCGGCAGGTAGGAGCCCTCGGTTAGAAGAGACATCACAGGAGAACAAGGCTTGAAAACCAAGCCTTCGGCGCCTGCGGCCCTCGGCAGGTAGGAGCCCTCGGTTAGAAGAGCCTTCGGCCCAGCACCCTTCAGCCGAAGGCATCCACCTCGACAGAATATCCTCTTCACATGCGCCTAGATCACCGTACCAAGTACAAACGTCACATCCAACCACCGCATTTAATGCGGCCACATGCGAGTGCCAGTGCCACCCCGGTAGAGGTGACCCCTCGACCACAAGAAAACTGACACGTGTCCTTATCTAGCATTTATTACTACTATAAATAGCACCCCTTTCCCCCATTGTAAACCACGCTTAATACATATCGAATATACACTCTCTCTCTTACTTATTTGCTCTGACTTCTCTCTAGTTATTCTCCGCAATAACCCCTCGGATAAGCTACCCCCCCGGGTACACTATCCATCATTTGGTGCTCTCTTTGAGAGTTCGAACAATCAAGTAAGAAACCCTCCCCTTCAGCTAAAAACGCCTATCAAAATGGGAAGAAACACCCGTGCCCAATCCAAGACTCATGAGGACAGGAACCTGGCCCTTGGCGACGTCGACGCCCTCGAAGCCTCTAACATGGTTCCCGAGGGCGGCGCCCTCGCTGGGTTGGAACAGACGGCTGTCGACCTGCGCTTTCAGCTCCAACATAATGCCCCCGATGCCCGCCTTGGCATCGAGGCCAAAAAGAAGGACCGAGGCGAAAACCAAATGAGCCCTCCGGTTCTCACCATTGACGTACAATCAGCGTTCTCCGCCTTCATCCAAACTCTCACTCAAAACCCAGGTGCCTTCGGCACGCTGGTACCCCTTCAGCCGCAGGTCGGGTAGAACGCCATTCTCCCCCCTCCTCCGCTCCCCTTCGTGAACCCTATCCTTCAGTTAGGGAACAACGAGAGGGTTGTGGCCCAGGACACCGCCTCTCAGGAAGTCCAATCCCGGGACCGCCACGACACAAACAAAGAAAGGCCCCGGACTTCCGCCCTCGAGAGACTCGGAGGGGCGCTAGACCGCCGAGGGGTCCAAGACCGCCTCGACGGAAAGGTGCTCCAAAGACCTCAGGAAAGTGGCGGATCCGTCTCGAGGGCAGATGAGAAGCTTCCCCCTCGGGATAAAGGCAAAGCACCCCTCCATGCCGACGGCACTCGACATCGAATCAACCAGGCCCGCTCGGCCCATGGCCATTCGCAAGGGGCGGAGGCCCTCCCGAAGGACACCAGGGACGAAATTATTGCGGCCCTCCAGCACCGGCTTGATGAAATGGAGGCCCGTCAAGCACATACCGCCGTTGCCGCCCCTCATGCAGATTCTAAATATGAGGCCATGCTGGCCAAAATGGAGGAGATGCAAAGGAATTTGCCGAAGGCTCCGGGGAACCCGTCATCCAACTCCGAGCTAGGACGCCATTTACCCCAAGGCTATTGGCGGCCCAAATCCCGGAAAAGTACCGAGGGCAACTCATCAAGCCCTATGAAGGAAAAACTGACCCCCATGAGCACTACAACAGGTATCAAAACAACATGATGATGATGGGGGCATCAGATGAATACTTATGTCGTTGGTTCCTTTCCACCTTGGAGGGACCAACATACGAATGGTTCAACCGATTGCCCGAGGGCATCATTGACTCTTGGCAAGATCTTGCCCAACGCTTCCTCACCCATTTTGCCGAAAGGAAGCGTGCGAGAAAGCACTTCTCCCACCTCCTCTCCGCCAAGCAACAGCCTGACGAAACACTTCGGTCCTTCATTGATCGGTGGATGAAGGAGGCAGACGAGGTCGAGGGCGCCGACGAGCGTACCCTCCTCGTCCTCTTCCAGGGGGTTCTCCGCAGCAGCCCTACGCACGAAGCCTCATCACCGACCCCCCAAGATCATACCTCAGAGCACTCCAGTGGGGGAGCCTATACGCCGACGCCGACGACCTCCACTCCTTCAAGAAGAACGAGGGCCAGCCCTCGAAGAAGACAAACAACACGCCGGCCCCAAATGCACCCTCGGCCGGAGGCCGAGACCATGGAAGCCACACCCAGCAGGGCCGTAACGAACGCCAATGGCGCCCTCGGCTGGACATGCCGAGGACTCCCCTCACGCACCCGGTGAGCACTATCCTAAACTATGCGGAAGAGCAGGACCTTTTCCCCAAGGACCCTCGATCGGCGAGGGAGATCTACGCCATCCACCAAGGCAGCACTTATTGCCGTTACCACAAAAGCACCTCACACAATACAGACGATTGTGTATCGTTAAAGAAGGCTATTGAACTCTTAATTCAACGGGGTGAGCTCCGCCAATTCATCAAAAATGCCCCAAGGAAAAACACCGGGGAGAACACTGATAAAGAAGAAGGGGACATCGCAACGAAGAAACATGAAATCGGGAGGCTCAGCGACGACGAGGAGTTCGAGGAGCCCCAGCCGAAGAAGCGCCACCTCCCCTAATCATGTTCCTCGCCTTCGGCGTTAGTCTCAGCCTTGGGCCCTTGACCTCGAGGCACATTACCATCCCCTCGGCCTAGAGCCCTCGGCCTAGAGCGGTGAATCTTAACAAAGCCGTTGTCAAACAACGCACCCCTTGTATTCCGCTTATTTCTATGAATTTAAGTAAACTACAACACAATCCATACATCTTATCGGCCCCTTTGAGGCCAAATGCCCAGGTATGGCCGATGGTGTCTAAGGACGGGGGGCCTGCAAAAGGCCCGTGTTTTTGGAGCGGGACGCTCGCCGCGTCACCGGCGCGCAACGCACGGCGACAGGCCTGAAAGAATGATTGAGGTAACGAAATCCCCAAACTTGGGGGTGAAACAGCAGTCGTCGGAAACCGACCAAGCCTAGCCCGCGCCGTAAATAGACGACGGGACCCCCCAAGGT